CTCTTGGTTGATAAAAACTGTGTGTGTGTACGAAAGTTTTAATAGAAAAATATTGTTCTCCTATCTATTTTTCACAAATAAGGGATACTTGTTTTATGTCGATAAATTTAACCGTTTTCGATTTATTTCTTGTTTTTCTATTGGATGCAATAAAATAAAATAAAAGTTTGTAGATACTTATGTAAAACTGTCATAGTAAGCTTTGGTTATTTGAAAACAAATTGTACTATTGACAATTAGATGATTGACAAGTAACTTATGTTAAATAGTGTATTCCTTTTTTTGTTTACAATTAATAATATCGCGTGAAATATGCCTCGCCATAATTTATTTTCTAATGAAGAAATGCGAGATATGGTATGTATTTATGCAAAAGAAAATTTTAATGGACGTCGTGCGTGTCGCAGGTATTTAGAAAGTTACCCAAATAGACTACAATCAAATCACAAATTATTTAAAAATCTTTATGACCGGTTAGGAGATACTGGATCGCTTCGTCCTAAAAGACGAGATGCTGGCCGTCCAACAACTGTTACTCCAGGACAAGAGGAGGATATTTTGCTTCGTGTAACAGAAAATCCTGAAATAAGTTTACGACGAATGTCTGCGGCTGTAGTGGTACCTAAATCATCTATTCAGAGATTATTTCATAATGAAAAACTGTACCCGTATCACTTTAGCCCAGTGCAGAATTTACTACCTGCAGATTTTCCAGATAGGGAACAATTTTGTCTTCGATTCTTAGACCAACACAATGATGATCCGCACTTTTTAAGCAAGGTGCTGTTTACAGATGAAGCCACATTTACTCGCCGCGGCGTTTTAAACTTCAGAAATAAACATGTTTGTGATAATGAAAACCAGCATGTATTAAGAGAACGTCATTTCCAACATGAATTTAAGATAAACATTTGGTGTGATATTGTTGGAAATCATCTGTTGGGCCCTGTTGAATTGCCATATTGTCTGAATGGTCGTTCTTACTTACATTTCTTAGAACATGATTTTGAGGAACTTATTGATGATTTACCATTAAAGGTAAGACACAATATGTTTTTTATGCAAGACGGTGCCCCTGCCCATTTTTCTGTACAGGTGCCAAACTATCTTAACGAACAATTTCCCCAACGTGGATAGGTCGCGGCAGCACGTTTTCATGGCCCGCACGAAGCCCAGATTTAAACCCCATGGATTTCAGTATTTGGGGTATTTTGAAATCAAAAGTTTACTGTGACCCTATTAATACACGGGATGACCTGTGGCAAGCAATTTTAAATGCTATGAATTTATTAAGAAATGCAGAAACACTATTTAATATTAGACAATCATTTATCAAACGAATAAGATTGTGTATTAATGTAAACGGGGGTCATATTGAGAATTTAATGTAGCCACCTGAATGTAATTAAATTATTATTAAAAATAATCTTTAGTTTTTTACGTAAGTAACTACAAACTTTTATTTTATTTTATTTTATTGCATCCAATAGAAAAACAAGAAATAAATCGAAAACGGTTAAATTTATCGACATAAAACAAGTATCCCTTATTTGTGAAAAATAGATAGGAGAACAATATTTTTCTATTAAAACTTTCGTACACACACTGATAAAAAAGTTATAACCAGTTTTTATCAACCAAGAGTACATTTCGTAGCGCCCTCTAGCGTCTACAGCAAAATTAAGTACGGATTCGTTTTTCTCGTCCCAGAAAACCCCCTAATCCAAAATTTCAAAAGAATCCTTTGAAAACTTTCTAAGAATTTTAAGAATTTCGAATTCAAAATTTCAACTTTAACGCCCTGTAACTTTTTTATTAGTCACAAATGGACCAAGGTAAGTTTGGCTTAATCGCATTATTTTGATATATTATTATATTTTTGATTTTATTTTGCTCTATGTCCCATTAATTTCGGGACACCCTGTATATTTAACCTGATATGTGAAACCATGCTTTGTCAGCAAAAAAAGACAAGTCCAACGAATTAGTCTGTTTTCATGTTTTCTATACAGGGTGTTCCACGGTGACAAGACATTAGACATATTTCAGTGACTACTTCGATTTTAATTTTGAAAATTTGGGCAATAATGCTTTAGGGCATGCCCTTCTCAACTAAAATAATGGCGTCGATCTAACACTTCCGGTTACACCGGAAGTTGATGTCATCTTCGTTATTTTAAATGGAACACCCTGTATATTATTCCAAATTTGGATTCTACGTCAATTTTTAGTTGAACCTTCATAAAAGCCTATTCTTGAAGTTAACCATTTTTGACATATTTGATTTTTTCAAAAAAAAGAAAATTAAAAAAACACTGCCTAATTCACAAAGATGTGTATTTTACATTAACAAAGTTAGAGCGATAAAATTTATAGGCGGCATACCTAACTAAAACTCTAAGCTTCCCTCCCATAATTTCAAAATGATTTACTTAATTTCATACAGGGTGGTAGAAATTGAATGCCAATTTTAGTCAATTTTGAACCATCTTAACTTTTTTTTTAAATGGAACACCCTATATATTTTTTAGTGGAACTTCAAAACAAGTCACCAGTTCATTGTTGTCAATTTAACACATACAGTGAATGTTTATTTGAGTATTATTTATTGTTAAAGAATGGAAAACGTTAACATTTATTCAAATGCTGATATTCTAAATTTATTATCTATTCGTGGAGAGTATTGAAGATAATGTCTCGTCATCGTGGGACACCCTGTATGTCGCTCACAGTACTGTAATTGTCAACAGTTGCCTTGTATGGGTGTAAATGCACTTGTTTTTTAAAGCTTTCATTCAAATTCATATAAAAATTTCAAAGTTAAAATATTCTAGAGACAAACAAATACCTGTTTGAGCAGACAACTTTGATACGGACATTGTAGGAGTTTGATTTATTCGTCGCTGTATATTATAGAAGACATTTTCTGTAAGTACAGTTGGTCTACCCATAGATTTTCCTTTGCAAATGCAGTGTTTGGTTTCAAATCTTTTGACAATAATACATTTCCGGTTTAAGAAAGTGTCAGTAAATGATTGTGTCTGGAAATTCCATCATAAATAATTGTTGTAAACGGCAAAATTTTGTTTGTTATAACTTACCAGTAATTCGACGAAATGCCAAAAGTTTAGCTGTGGAAGCAACTGATTGATTAAAAATATGTATAGGGTGATTCACTATATTTTGACCCCCCATTTCACTTTTTTGTTTTAAGAGTTATAAAAAAATGTGAAATACAAAAGTTGCACGATTTTTTATGAATTTTTCGAAAATGATAGTTGAAAAACAAATGAAGTCCAAATAAAATGGCCGCTGATGTTAACTTTGTTAAGTTAAATGGAACACCCTGTATATTTTTACATATTTGGATACGTTCCCTATCGAGCATAGTCATAATATAAGGTTTATTGGGTCCATCTTTTACAATAACGAGATATTATTAAAAAACGAAATGTTTTTTTTATTAACAAAATAAGATATCTTTTAATTGTTAGACATCTTCCAGGCATTTCTGCCTTTTTTCCAATTACAAAAGGATTTACAGATTTAGTTGTAATATATTGAAATACATACGATTTCAAGTGATTTTGATAAATTAAATTTAGAATAAACTTAGATTATTTACGTATGAAGATTTCAATTAAACAATGATTGAACAATAAGTCACAAGAAAAGCTAAAAAGTTATATTATTTAAAATGAAATATCAGTGATTTAAAAGATGGAATTAAATTATTTAATTATTATTATTATTATTAGAACTACTTATTAATAATCATTTGGAGAATTAAATTAAAAAAGATTATATTGTTATTAGATGTAAGAACTTTGTAAATTATAAAAATGTTTGTATGGTAACGAGGTTTTGAATTGTGGATTAAAAAAAAAAGAAGAGAAGGTGGTGGAGAGATGTCAAGATAGTTTTTTTTTTGACAGAAGGTTAATAATTATAAGAAAGTATATACTGATATAGTAGAAAAAAATCAATGTGTTATTGCAACATACATTGCTGGAGGAAAATTAGATAATTGAGATATCATTGCAGTCAACATTTGGTAGTTGTAATTCGGGCAAGTTATATTATTTTCTTAATAAAAAACCTTCTTTTCGTTTTTTAATAGTATCTCGCTTATTGTTAGAGATGGACCCAACAAATCTCATATGACTATGCTCGACAGGGAACGTTCTATCCAAATATGTAAAAATATACACGGTGTTCCATTTAAATTAACAAAGTTAACATCAGCGGTCATTTTGTTTGAGCTTCAATTGTTTTTCAACTACCATTTTCGAAAAATTCATAAAAAATAATCGTGCAACTTTTGTTTCGCCTTTTTTTATAACTCTTAAAACAAAAAAGTTAAAGGGGGAGGTCATAATATAGTACCTACGATTTAATATTGAAGCAAAGGAAACAATAAAACGATGGTAGCAAATAACTTAAATGAAAACAGACACGGACGACGGACGCCACTGAAAAATGCACAAATGTCAATTTAACGTCATCCGTCATGATTCGTTTACAATAAACAGTAAGAAACCATTGCCTCTATACACTCGAGATAATGCGATCGCTCATTGGTTGAACCAAATGTCATGAAAAATTACACCAATCATGAGCCGGTAAAACGAATTGTTTTAGTAATTTTTAATTTTGCCAGAATTTAATTGAAAATAAAATTACTGTTTCAAACAAAATGACTGGTCACGTGGCTTGTATCATTTATGAAGGCGCTGTAATTTGAATTGATTCCCTAATATAAATATATAAACAACGATGACACGATGAAAATTAGCTGGGACACTCTGTACGCATATGGTGTTTGGGACACTGTGTATGTTACATTCAACGTTTAATGAGCTGCATAAATAATAATTTCCATTTTAAATCTAAGTTACAGGGCCAATCTCTTTCGATTCGATCTTCATGGTCAAGCCCGTGTCGGTCAAGAAATTATGGACAGGACAGAACGATCGGCAGTTGGCGAAAAACTCCGACTGTGACTGTGACGTACCGACTCGGTTCCTCGTGACAACTTATGAAAACTGCGCGGGTTCAGTCTATTCGCGGACCCAGTTTAAACTTCGAACCGAAATCGCGAACGCCGCGATTAGTTGTTGTTTTTTTTTTTTAATTAGCGGCGCTGAGTTTCTGGCGTCGATATTTGGATTTATTTTCAACAAGTCGTTTTTCTCTGTCCTTGGAGTGAAGGTGAGTGAGTGGTGGGTTTATTTTTAGTGGGATGATCTAAGTTTTCGCCAACCTTTACGTTACGTGCCAAGTGTGCTAAATAAAATAATTGTAACGCGAAAACAGACCAGTATCGCATAATCAAATTAGCTCGTTTATAGAATCTTGATTGATAGAAGTGGGCATATTTTTTATGGGCATTGCTAATGGCGATTTCAATGTGTATTAAGATGTCTTTCAACTTTCGTTAAATCTTCTTTTGATAGATAACTTATTTATTTATACTTACATTAAACTGGTATTGAAGCATAGTAAGTAGGTAGTAGGTAGGTCTGAGATTAATAAGGCCCTTTAACTAATAAGCCTACATTTTGAAAAACTCGCTAAACGACTTTGCATTACGTTACAAGCATGTATTTTGTCGTACATACAGAAAAATAATTGTGATATGGAAAAAAGTTAGTTTAACGAAACTCAGTAAGAAAAATAATGAAGCAGAGAAATTACAAATTTTTTTAGTGATTCTTGAAATGCTGTAATTTTGCGAATAATATATGGTCGTATCGAGAAAAAAAAGAAGCATCTTGAAGTTTGAAGATTATAGCTTTGAAATCTTGGGATGAAAAATTTTTTTACCATCACTCGGCGCAATCGAAAGAAATAATGTAAAGTAAAAATTTTACAATTTTTTTTTTCAAAACTGCCCATGGGCTAATCAATGTCAGGGTCATTTAGTTTCAGCTTCTTCAGCTTCAATTTGTTTTTTTTATTTTCTGTACGATTATTTCACATTGAGATATCGGCTATTGAGTGAAAAGGCACCTTTTTTTATGATCAACGACATCTTATGAACCAATGATCGTACAACGAACGGAAGGTGAGTTTTGGACACTTGAGTCAATACTCTTCAAGTGCCTTTTGGTATGTTAGAGAATTTTTTTTTATACTCAGTATTAATTTGAAAATGTGCAATAAAATTACTTTCTCTGCTGTTCTCAACGACTATTTTGCGAATATTGCGAAAAGTGCCTATTATTTTTTAGCTCAATATATGCCCGTAAGGCCTGTAAATTTTGAAATCGATCGGTAGAACCGTTTGCGTTTCCTGAATCGTCAAAATTTTATAAAAAATTAAAAGAGCTCTTTAAACATAAGTTAATCATGATTGAGATTTTTCTCAATTTCGCGTTAAATACTTATCAAATATTGAAAAATTCAAAATTTTGAGTATTTATTTCACATGTCCAAATGTTGAAATTAAAAAAGTGTTGAAATTTCGAAATATTCAGAAAATTATACCGAATCATTTTCTGTTCAGTTTTGATGCGAATTTTTCTTCGCATGCCGTATTTCATCGAGTTAAAATTAATTGCATTAAATTGATACCCCCAAGTGAATCTATCTTCATGCATTTTTTTAAGTGCATCACTAAACGCTTTATTTAATCCTTTTTTTCGAAAATTCTCAACCCTTTTAAAAATGTTTTGTTTTTCAAAACTAGGTACCAATTATTTCCGTTAAAAAAACTTAATCTTAAAATTTATTAACAATTTTTTATTTCGACACTTGATAAGTATTCAATCGTGAAAACAAATTACGGAAACAAATTTTGAAACATTTAATTTTTTTTTCAAAATTGAACTTTTTTTCAAAATTTTTAATTATTTTTTCGATATTTGATGAGTATTTTTTAACACGAAATGGTGAGAAAAATAAACGCAAAAATTGTTTTTGGCAATATTCGCAAAGTAGTCATTGATTTTCCAAAATCGCAGAAAAAGTCATTTTTTCCACTTTTTCAAATTAATACTGAGTATAATAAAACATACCAAAAGTTCCTTGAAGAGGATCGATTCAAGTTTCCAAAACTCACCTTTTGTTCGTTGTACGATCATTAGTTCATAAGATATCGATGATAAAAAAAGTGACTTTTCACTCAATGGCTTATATCTCAATAAGAAATAATCTCGGAAATAATCGAACAAAAAATAAAAAAAAACAAATTGAAGTTGAGGAATCAGGCTATTAGACCAAGCAAATTAAATTTTTACTCGAAAAAAGTCCTATCCGCGAGATTATTGTAAAATTGTCTAAAGGAACATAATACACGACATCTCTCGTCTCGTGAGTCAAAAACTTTTATTAGCCAACTTTTCTATTTAAACAAATAAGTGAGGAAAACAGTTTTTTCACTTTGCAGGGAAAACCATCAATTTTAGCGAAAAGTGACTCTCA